GGGTCCCGAGGACACGGAGGGATCCGAGGTGGGGTCTGAGGAGCCAAGTCCCCACGCCAGTGAAGGAGGCCAGGGACGAGCATCGGAGACAGAAACAGCCGCAGAGATGTGCCCCTTAGAACCAACAGAAAAGGAAACCACTAGAAGAGCAGTGTGGGGGCCGGCGGGCGGGCAGAGGGAGGGCTTTTCCATCATAAGCGCTCAGAACTCCATGGCTTTAAAATTACGTACATGCATTACTTTGCTAAGAAAAGACAAGGGGAGAGCAATACTAGATCTCCTTAACTCATATAATGAGGTGCGAGGTTCTGGGGTGCGGAGTGGAGGACTGGTTTCCGTCCGGCTCCCCTGCGGGTCGAGCAGCCGTCAATGGAGTCGTGGTGGCAGTTATGGGGAATGAGGCGACCGTCAGACGCTGGCGTGGAAAGCTGTCCACGCACCGCCGGACACAGAGACGCCGGCACCGCAGGTGTGCCTGGAAGGACTCGGGCCTCAGCACAGCACGGAGGGCACACGGGACAGTCGGCCCCCGACAGTTTACGGGGGGCAGGTGGTGTCCAGCGGCGGATCATGGGTACTTTGCCTTCATCTATAAGGATTTCATTTCTTATAACAAGCATGGATTTCTATTGTAATCGCAAAAGAGCTTAGGCCATAAAAATATATAAAAGTCGATTTAGAGGGAATAAATGTAACTTCGTGTTCCTACTCGACCACTCCACGGCTCAAGAGACCTTGGAGGGAGGGATCAGGAAGGATCAGAGGAGGGGAGGGGGGTCAGCTGGGGAGTAAGAGTGGGGCCATGGGGAGTCGACACTTAGGAGCTGGTCATGTCACTCTCCTGGTCAGGTTGCAGGTAAAATACAGTTACTTCGTGTGCCAGGGTGGCACATTTGGTTAAGCGTCTGCCTTCGGCTCAGGTCATGATCTCGGGGTCCTGGGATCGAGCCCCGCGTCGGTCTCCCTGCTCAGCAGGGAATCTGCTTCTCCCTCTCCTCCCCACTCGTGCTCTCTCTTACCATCTCTGTCGCGATCTCTGTCTCAAATAAATAAAATCTTTAAAAATAAAAAAAAATTTTTTTAAATGGGTAATTTTTTAGTACAAGTCTGTCTGTCCCACAAAATATTTTTTGGGGGGGGACAGACTTATACTAAAAACGTCTCCGTTGTTTATCTGAAATCCCACGTAACCCGGTAGGCTGTATTTGAGTTTGTGGAATGGCAGCTCTGTGTTGTGGGCACCTGGACCCCTTCAGGAGCTTGATAGAAACCGTGGGCCTTTCTTCTGGAGAAGTGCCCAGGCCCCACTCTGCACACAATTCCAGGGAATTCATGGAACCCTCTGGAAGTCCATCCATGGGTTTAGATCAGGGCTCAGCACACTTTTTCTGCAAAGCCCCAGATGATAAATCTCTTTGGCCAAAGCAGCCACTGCTGATACATACACGTGGGCGTGGCCGTACGCCAACAAAACATCCTGGGAAATTCAAATTTCAGTTCCCATAAATAATTCCTGTGTGTCAAGAAAAATCTTCTTTGGATTCTTTTCAAACCATTTAAAAATGAAAAAACTGTTCTCAGCTCGCAGGTTAGAATGTACCAAGCCCTGCTCTAGAGCCCCCAGCTGGGTCTCCTCCTCCTGCCCTTGGCTCCCCCTCCCCAGTTCTGCTGCAGCCCCCTTTAGAATGAGGCATGAACAGTTCAGGAGGTGGGTGTTTTTGGTTTTTGGTTTTTGTTTTAAGAAAAACAGTTGTCATGGAAGGAAGAAAGGCAGGTCCCCATGTGGTCTTTCTCTGATGACTGAATCACAGGCTCGCCCTCAGCCTTGGGCCCCCTGCCATCAAGGCTATAACAGAGAAAAGTAAAAGTGGGCTTCGAGGTTGAGTGGCCCGAGCAAAAGGCGGTCCACGTGGCCCTCTGCAGCTGGTGGAAGAGGACCCCGGTGTGCCCCCTGGCTCCTAGGACGTTCTTGGTGCTTCCCGGAGGAGGGAAGCAGGGTGGAGGATGGACGGTCAGGGGGGTCCAGCAGCATGGGAGGTCACAGGCAACTCTCCTTGTGATGACAGGCCCTGCCCTGGGCACTAGTTAGGTCCCCGGGGATCCGGGGGACTCCTGTCTCCCGGGTGCCTAGAATGCTACGAGCCCAGAGGATGTGCTCGGCAAATGTTGGTTGAATGAATACATGATGTAATCAGCTCTGAGATTCAGTCCTTCCGGCTCAAGTTGCCCTTAGAAAGCCTAAATGCTCTCCCTTTCACGAGAACTCGCCTTAGAAGGTGGTTGCTTTTTAATGCCTTTTCTCGATAAAAGAAAAAGTGGCTATCTCCCCTCTAATTATTTTTATTTTTTTACCACTCCGTAAAATCTCAAAATCTGGGGCGCAACCCATCAGTGTGTTAACTGACTGAAGAGGAGTGTCCCCTCGAGCACCTGAAAATAGTCCCTATGTGTCCACCTCCCCATATATACTACAAAAGATGCTTTGAGACAGGATGTTTCTGCCTTTCTCTGCCAGCTTTGTAAAACAAGGCGTTGCAAAGTATTTAATATTGATCTCTGGGAAGACGCCGAGGACGCTCTGGCTCAAGCCAACACACATCAAAAGGCTAGTTTTTTCAAGGCTACCCAGTGGAATCTAGGAGCTCAGCACCTGCTTTTGTTCGCTTCCCCAAACCCGCTGGAAGAGGCGTTGCAGGTGGGGCTGGCCTACCCCTGCCGGGAGCCCGCCAGAGGGATGGGGAAGAGTGGAATCCATTACACCTGAATAAAAGAGCTGAAGGAGAAATGAAAAGTGAGCTGGGTCTAAGGTACCTTGGGTAGCCAGGCAGGGGAATGAGTGGAGAACAGATGTGCTGAAATTTCATTAAGAGGGTCTTGAAAATCAACCTGTCAGGATTAGACGCTTGTTCTTTCCAAGTGGTTTCTGAATTTTCAGGGTTTTCTTTCTTTCTTTCTTTTTCTATTCTTTTTTTTTTTTAAGGAAATAAATAATTCTATAGATCCTTCTCCCCAATCAGTGGCCTGCCTTTGAAATTAACCATTTCTCTGGCTTTCCCTCTGATTGGGATCATGTTCCTCCTTGGTCTCTCTGAAGTGCTATTGTGCTTGGTGTTATTCGCTTAGCCACACACAATGTAACTTCGAAATGTGATGGAAAAAAAATTAGCATTTCCAGTGAACTGGAAAGAATGCATCTGATTTCGAAATGTGTACTTAAAAAAGAAAAAGTGCACCCAAATTGATTCTACCAACTCTAGGGCATATTCTGCCAAGCCAAACCTGAAATGCATTTCTGCAAAGGGACAACTTTTATTTATGATTCTTTAGAGGAAGGAAATACGAAGATCCAGGCATAGGGTAAAAAAAAGAAAAAGCATCTTGAGGATTTAATATAACTTGGATTCATCAAAGCGCCTGCTTTTAAGCTGTGTGCCCCCACAGAGGAGTGAATTAATGAGCGATTTATGCAATGAATATATTTTTTTCTTTAATTATCTAGGTATTTCAGACAAGCATGCTTCTTCTGACTTGAATTCTCCAGATACTTCTCTGAAATTTTAGCTTCACTTTGCATGGATAATTACTGCCTCCAGTTGTTCGGAGAAGTCTCGAGGAAGTGGAAACCTCTCTCGCCCCCCACCCTCATGCAAATCAAGTGGGTTGCTCGCCACTCAACCTCAACTGTAGCCTGAAACCTTTTGAATGAAGAACCCATTTTGGTTTTATCCTTAGGCCAGTGTCTCCTAGGTTGGTTTGGGGGAGGGTTTTTTTTTTTTTTTTTTAAATAAGAATGCAGACCCTGGACCCCACCCCTGGAGACTCAGAACCAGCAGGTCTGGGGTAGGGCCTGGGAGCTGGTACTTTTGGTATTTTTAAAGGACCCTGAGCAGAGTAGCCTAGCCCTCCGCTCCCCACCCCCCCACGCCCACACCCAAGGAGAAAGTGTTCAATTAGGCAAGTTAGCTTTATCTGCTGCCTTACAAGGGATCTGTAGACCCAAGGCTGAGCCCAAGGGCTGAAGTTATGTGAGCAGCGAGAAGATGGATTTTCCTTTCTCATGGCACAAGCTCAGCTGCAATTTAGACCCCCAAGATATGTGCGGGGGGACCCCTGGAGACAAGCTGAGCCTACGGTCCGCGTTGCCCCAGCGGCCCCTAACTACACTGGGTCTCGTTCTTAGGTTCCATGATTGTCCCGGCTTCCAGGAAATGGGGAGGGGACGGAGACTCGGGGTGGGGTGAAATTCCCAGGCTAGGGCCTAGAGCATGTCAAGGTCAGTCTTATCTCCCCCTTGCAGCTTTACCAAAAAGGACAGTCAGGTTTTGAGAAACAATAGGTGGGCACCACCAAGAAGCCTGGAGCTATTGAAAGCTCTGGGCGGCAAATGTGGGTGGGAGTCTCGCAGAAAACAATCCCGGGTCTTACCTGAGTGCGGGGGCAGGGCAGCAGGACTCTGAGGAGGGGCCTCCTCCGAAGCCCTGGCCTCCAGGCCACCCAGCCGGCCACCCTGGTGTGGTTTCTTTTTTTTTTTTTTTTTAAGATTTTATTTATTTATTTGAGACAGAGAGAATGAGAGACAGCATGAGAGGGAGGAGGGTCAGAGGGAGAAGCAGACTCCCTGCCGAGCAGGGAGCCCGATGCGGGACTCGATCCCGGGACTCCAGGATCATGACCTGAGCCGAAGGCAGTCGCTTAACCGACTGAGCCACCCAGGCGCCCCCGTGCGTGTGGTTTCTGTTTCGGGGACTCTCCTGCTGACCAGGCCCTCTTCTGAGGCCAGAGGAGGGGACTCGGGAAGGGGGTGGTGCTCAACCTGACAGGAAAGTGCTAGATCAGTGGAAAGACTGGACCCCTTCTTGGCCCTGCCCCCCTCTCAGCCAGTCCCTCCCGGTAGGAGTCAGGAGGCTCCGACCCAGATCCCACCTTGCTCCCCACTTCGGAGTAAAGGAGGGAGCCTGCTTCTGATGCAGGCAGAGACGGGCCCACACTGGCATCTCATCTCCCCCACCGAGAACTTTCGGGAACCAGAAACCTCAAGTTCAGAAAAGGACAAGAGTGGCCTCTTCTTCCGGCTGGCCCTCCCCCTTGCCACATTTCCATTAGCACCAAAATCATAGCCTCCAGAGCCCTGGCGACTCCCCAGCTTAGATAATTATTTTCTTCGTTTTTCCATTCACATTCGCCTGCAAACTTCATTAGACGCTGGTGTATAAAATGGTCATCTTTTGGTACATAGGGGCCAACTGAGTCCACAGTCCTGCAGGCGCCTGTCTCCCAGCCCTCCACCCCCTGCCCACTCTCTCCCGTGGGTACTGGGGCGAAGCCATCCTGACAAAGGGCCTGCAGAAGTTGGCCTCAAACCCCCACCCCGAAAATACTCGTCTGTTGCCTTAGACAGGCGTTGATCTGGGTTAAGGAGAGCCATCTTTGTTTTGTCTTTCCCAAGCAAAGGCACAAGGTGGGCCAGGAGGCTTAACGAGGCTTTCCAAGAGAGACCAGCCACCAGAAAGGTGTGCAAGGCCCACGCACAGGGTGATCACGCTGTCACCAACCCAAATGAGCAGGCACTCTGGGTATTTGAAGGCGAGCGGGAGAGCTAGGGACCCATGAAATCCTGCCTCCGTGTGGTGGTGACTACACATGGCCCCCAGCCCGCTCTGCTAGAATTCTCTTTGCCCCCATCAGGAGAAACCACCTTGCCCTTCTCCACTGGAGCCCCTCCCCGGTGTCTCTGAAATGTAATTTGGAGTTCACTTGCATTTAAGTACCCCGTAAAGCAATAACTCCTCCCCATCTGTTAACCAGTTTTTTGGACCCTGGATCTTCCGAGGGGAGTTTTGTCCCAGGCCCCATTTCCGGCGCTATCTGTCTGCAATCTATCTGAGACGGACAGCAGGCAAGAGTTGACCCAGCCAAACCCTGGGGTTCGTTAGGCCTCCCTTATCAGCTTAAGATTTGTGGCCCTTAAGGCATAATTGACACGAGAGAATGAACAGTATGTTCTACAATGGAATGGGAAGTGAAGGTCATCATCTCTGTACAGAGGTGGACGGACCCAGCAGAGGGGCTCAGGGTGCGTTGGGGAGGCTTCCGCCACCCACCCACTTAAGGAACACCTGCATTTGCTGCTCCACTGAGTAATTGAAAGCTCACCGCAAATGCCTCTTTCTTCTCTTCTCTTGATCACGTTGAGTTAAGAGTCCAAGAGGCCAGGTCACTGAAAGTAAGATCACTTTGCTGGGGAGAGGGATGACGTGGCACGGAGCTGCGTGCCCCGAATTTCAGGCCGGCACGCTTCCGTATCTGTGGTTTTTGTGCATCTGCTGGCCTCGCTGCGCTGTTATTTACTTAACACTGTTTTGCTCTTGCATTATTTACATAAATTACTTGAAAGTGAACGTTTACACTACCACAGCGAATGGAAAAATCTGTATCACTTGACACAAATCGGAAATACACATAAAAACAAGTCCATGCTTATCCCCATACGCAGTGATGGCAACCCTCGCCGGGATCTAAGGGGACAAGAGTCCTGGCCTAAGGGGACTAAGGGGACAAGGGTCCTGGAATACGTTTTGGCCCACAACTAGAAGGTGTTGATGGCTGGGTTATAATGTGGAAGACACCAACGTATCACGGGATATTAGCAAAGCAAAAAATCCTTAGAGAACTAATGCGCAGTTTGGAAGAATTCTGAGGTCCAGGGAGGAACCTGGGTGTCCCGGAGGCAACACACTTACGTGCTTCCTAGGAATTCACCATCCCTTCCCTACGGTGTGTTTTTCATAACAAATTAGCACGGTGTATGGTTGGTTTGTGCTTCTTTTTGTGAAGGAAATTTAATTTTATATATCTATTTCTGAGCACTTATTTCTGGTTCGAAAACCAAAACATACAAAAGGGTATGCAGGGAGGCGTCCTGTGGCCTCTCTCTCTCTCTCTCTCTCTCTGGTCTCCCCGTCCCCCTCCTGGGAGCCAGCCAGCTTAGGGACACACTAGGTATATACAAGCCGATGCATACGTGTATATTTTTTCCTTTTCTTATAAACACAGATGGTAGCATACTATAAACATTGTTCCCCACCGTGCCTTCAACAATGTGATGACGCATCTCCTCTCACTATACAATGAGCCTCCGGGTTCTGTTTTTAGCGCTACATGGTAATTCCATCGCAAGGCAGGAATGGGGTTGACTTAACCAGCCCTCTATGGCAAGCATCTATGTTGTTGCCAGCCTGTTGCTGTTTCCAACCACCTGGCAATGAATAAACCTGGGTATTCATCATCCCCGGCCTGGGCAGGGCATCGGAAGGATAAGTTCCTGGCAGTGCAATTACCATGAGTCTTAGAATGTTGTTCGCACGTGTTTGTGATGTTCCTGTCCCGTGGGATGGAGGGCTGGGCCGACGAGGTCAACATCAGGGGACAGGAGCTCCAGAGAGCTGCTTTTTATTTCCTCCAATTTAAGAACAGGCCTCTCCCAGTCTCGATCTTTGGGAAAAAAAAAACAAAAAAACAAAAAACAAAAAAAAATGGATAATTCAGTTGAGCTGCACACCCCCTGACTGGGTTCTCCATGAATTATGGATTTTTAAAAAGACAGGAAGGGAGGTGAGGTATTGAATTTCCAAACTGGTTTTATCTTACTTAATTTAAAATTCATCTTCTGCTTCTGATTTCGGCGCTGGTGTGCAAAGTGGCCTCAGTAGGCCCTCCCAGGGCCTTCTCACGATTAGTAGGTGGGTTTACGCGCTCCCGAGAGACACGGGCTCCTTCTGTGCTTTCTGCTGGGGGGGCGGGGGGGCTCGAGCACAGCCTGCCTGCATGGTATTATTTGTAGGGAAGGGGGCGCCCCAGCCTCAGGCCTCCCCACGGCCTCGTGGGAGTGGGACTTGTCCCAAAGACTCAGGCACCCCTGGACCTCCAGGGATCCTGCCTTCGTGAGGGGCTGTCCTGGACCAGGTAGGCACAAAGGGAAGACTTCTGAAGACAGAAAACGTGGGCAGTGCCTCGGAAATGCAGCCAATCAACGTCCTGATTCAGGGGCCTGAACCATCTCTGGGAGGGCCTCCCGTTGGAGCTCGGAGCATGGCCACGCAGTGATTCTGTGCAGGCCCCGATCTTGGCCCTCCCGCATTGGACCGTTTGGCCTCCACTGGAGACATTTGGGGTTGTCATGACTTGGGGGAGAAGGGGAGCTATTAGCATGGAGGTCAGAGAGGCTGCTGAACGCCCTACGACGTCCAGGATGCCTCCCCACAACGAAGAACTACCCCACCCCGATTGTTGATAGTGCCTTGGTTGAGAAAGCCAGGCTTAGCCCGGCCGTGAGACACCATCAGAATGGTCTGGGGACTAAATGCTGTCTCTGAAGGATGGAAGCACCCGGTCCACTCACCTGAGGGCAGGAGGCTTGCTGGACCCCCCCCTCTGTTTCCCAGTCTCTGGCACTTAGAAGACCCTCACTGAGTCCCCCCTCTTCTAAATGTCTATGCTGCAAAAAATGTACACATCGGCTCAGAGGGGAAATATATGAGGGAAGCAATATCTCCATATTCTCAACAATTTTTCTCCTCTGAGCTCGGAGAGCTTTCCCAGGACAATGTTACTTTATATTCCTATAATATAATGCAAGAAGGGATTGCTCTTCTCACTTTCCAGATAGACATATTTCCCAGAGAGCTGTTCCTGACAGCTAGTTAGTGGGAGAACTGGATCAGAATCGATAAGTCCTGAATGCCTTTTTTTTTTTTTTTTTTTTACAAAACGAAAACAGCTCTTTTTTTCTGATTATAAAAATGATACATGCACATTGTTCCTTAAAAAATTGAAACAGTACAGAAAAACATAAGGAAGAAAAATAAAAAATTACCCAAATCCTTTCAGCAAGAGATAAACAAATGGAGACGTTTTGGTGCCTATCCTTCAGGCCCTTGCTCTCCCGTATGTTACCCACAGCACCCTCTTGTCCACTTCGGGGTTTCTCCACCTGCCCCTGACCTTCTGGGCTGGATTACTCTCTGCTGTGAGGCCGTCCTGGGCACTGTACGGTGCTCAGCAGCACCCCTGGCCTCTACCCACTAGATGCTCAGAACATCTCCCCATCCCTGAACTGCGAGAACCAAATGTCCCCAGACGTTGCCAAATGTCCCCCCGGGGTGGGGGCGGGTGGTGGTAAAACTGACCCTAGTTGAGAACCCTGGAGATAAATGGAATCATGTACCTCCTGCTCTGTATATATCCAGTGTTTGGAAAGAGAGGAAAAAAGACTAAGGGTTATGACTTTTGTGTCCCTTGGTATTTAGCATCAGAGTGGCGGGGGGTCGGGGACCAGCTGTGATATTTACGAGGTCAGAGCTGCAGGTAGATTACTTGACAGTCACTGAGCCTCACTTGCTCGGCTTCTCCAGAAACAGGGACATGGCGCTCGTGCCGGGAATGACCCCACGGGCCCATCCGAAGTTTTTGCTTGGGTGGTCTCACTGGGGACCTAGCTCTGTGCCTCCTGTGGCAGGGACCCCAGGACGGGAAGGAGGCTGGCCCCTTCCCAGGGAGGAGAGGCAGGCTGCAGGGTGATTTATTCCAGGCACCGAGGCGAGAGGAGCGGCAAGGGGGCTGGTGCAGGGCGTCGTGAGGTTCTGTTTGTGGGCTTTGTTTTTTAATTCAATTCTTTTGAAAAACAGATAAGCACACGTCTACTTCAATCTAGTGTGCTAGGTTTTTTCTTTTCGTGTAAACTTTGGTTTCTTTTGAGCTTTAGATATTAAAGAAAAAAAAGACAAATGTATGAGATCAGTTGGAGGTTTAAGCAAATTGGTTTATTCCACTGCCGAGCGAATTGGGGTGGATGAGTCACAGTCCTCGGGTTGTCGGATTTTTACAAAGTAGCGTATGGTTTCAATGCTGGTGCAAAGCCTCTGGGTCCTTGCTCTCCCCGCCCCCATTCACGCCCTCCCCCCACCTCTACATGCACTCCCCTCGTCCTCGAATTGCAGAGTCCAGGGCTGGCCCATTTGGGGCCACGTCTGCACGTGGCAGGGACCCTCCCTTTACCCATCCCAGTGGGACTGGTGGAGCCTCTGATCGCTTCCTAAAATGATCCCCACTCCTTAAAACGTCAGTGAGTACCTTGGCCTCAGGATAACAAGCGCAATTCTTTCCAGGGCCCACGAACCCTGCTTGGACCCCCGTTTCCCCCCAGATCACCTAGCCTTCCTTGGGTCCCTCCTGCTCCCGTGGTTCCCTGCCACAGGGCCTTTGTACATGCAGTCCTGCCCCTTTGCCTGGTAATGCCTTCCCGTCAATTGATCTCGGTCCCACCGCGCATCTTCTGGGAACCGACCAGCCCCTCTGTTGTACATAGTCGTTGGTGGTAGTTTGACATGTGTTTCTGTGGTTATCCAATTAATCCCATTGGGCCATAAGCACCCTGGCGGTGGAGGCCCTAATTTTTTTCACTATTGAATCGCCAGTGTTTTACAGAACGCTGAGCACAGTCGATGAATATCTGAAGGAAGGAAGGCAAGAGGAACGGAAGGCTGGAGGGGAGACCCCCGATCTTTAAAAGTGTGGTTTGTTTGTTTGTTTTAACCTTCAACATCCCAATCATCCACATTCAAGTGGTACATGAATATCAGCGCTCCCTGCCTGCCCCCTCCTCCTCTCCTGCGGGCCCAGGTGAGCATCTCCCATTAGTGGGTTGGGGAGACACATCCATTAAGCCACCTGCGACGGCGGTCCACTACCAGCCAGCACGTGGGAGGAGGAATGACTCAGTGCCTCCCCAGCATGAGTGACCAAATGGCCCGCTCCAGCCTTCCCGAGGAGCCATCCTCCGCCCGTAATGGAGAAATTATGTGAGGCGTAATTTATAGTAAAAATCAAATGAACATTAATTCTGGTGAGTCACCCATGCAGAAAGGGCACCCGGCGGCTGTGGACGTGGGCTGTGGTTGAGGACAGCTAAATGCTTATTCAAAGAGAGAGGAGGGCACATTGCACACTGTGGTTCCTGAAGTTTGGGGTGGCAGGTGGGCGCTGCTGTCCGAGCCCTTCTGGGCGGCCGCAGCCCCACGTCCACCGCATCTTGGGCTCCCGAGCTGGGAGAGCACATGGCCAACAGCCAGTTAAGCTCCCTTATTTTATAAAGGGGGACTCCAAGACTGGGGGGAGATGCCAACTTACCGCACGTCCTGCCCCAAGTGGCCCCTTCCCCAGCTGTGCCCATTCTGCGTCTTCCGGGGCCCCCTCTGCACAGGGCTGGGGTGCCCAGCCTCCTGAGCTGCCTGCAGCTGGTACTCCTCTCTCCTCCCTCTGCCAGCTCCCCCAGCCCCGCTGAGGGGCTCGCATCTACTGAGGGGTGACTCCAACAGCCTCCCTACCCCCCACGTCTCCAGGCTTCTCCAAGGAACTTCTCCAAACGCAAACGGATTGTCACTTGTCGGAAATGCTTCAGTGGCTCATCCCTGCGCTCTCGGTAAAATCCAAGCTGGGGGTGGAGGCTGGGGGAGTCCTGAGGGTCAAGGCCTTCCCATGCATCCCCCCCACCCCCTCATGGGCACACACTTCCCTGCTGCCTAGCCACCCGGCTACTACCTCCTTCTCATTCCATGTACATGCCACCTCCTCCGGGAGTCTCCTGGCCAAGCCCCTGTTATGCACATGGTCATAGGCTCTAAGCTCTACAAGGACAGGACCGTGTCCATCTTGTCCTGCTCTGTGTCCCCGGGGCCCACAACAGGGCCTGGCATGCAGTACAAGTGTGCAGGGAGGGATGGGTGGTGGCTGGCCCCCAGGAACAGGTGATGGCAGTGGGGGCACGTCTGCTTCCCTTCCCGCTCCCCACCCCCTGCTGCTCCAGCCTCGGTCAGGCGGCAGGCACCCCCCCCCCCCCACACTGCCGCTGAGCCCTGGCCTGGACCGCAGACATCACAGCTCGTTGTGAAGGAACAGGCCACAGATGGCTCCTGTTCACAGGCAGGTGCCAATGCCCAGGACACGGGCACATTTTCTTTCTGAGAAGATGGCACTGGTCCCAGTTCACCTCAGACAACGAGAACATTCTGCCTCTTGAGAGAGTGAAGAATGTCATCAGGGCAGTATGGGGAGATACTTTTGGGCAGACAGGGGCCTCCCCTGGATCTCCTTCTGCCAGGAGTGTGCTCTGGGTTTTCTCCAAGTTGTCCAAGCCGCCATCAGCAGCCGGGAAGGCCAGGCCCCACAGGGACTCGGGGCCATGGGGACAGCACCTGCCAGGCCCGAACGGGCCATGGAGGCTCTGGACCAGCGGTTCCAGCCCAAGGAAGCATGGGCCTTTCCCAAGAGGTCCAGGCTGCACACGCTGGGAGCTCAAGCCCTTCCAGGGCACCCCAGCCACCCTCCTGTGCCCTACCTCAGACCCAGCACCACCCCTTAGACCTGTCCCCTGGCTGTCGGGTCCCAGCCAGAGCCCCAGGTGCCTCCTGGACCCCAACTCTCCCCCCTCGCCATGT